CTTTAACCTTCTTGTTAATCATCTGGCCAAGATCTTGTTGCCCTTTTTTTCAATTAACCACGACTTAGATAATTTCTTATAACAACGAAGTTAATCGCACTTTGTAAGAACGATTATTTATTTTCCATATTACTCATTCTGATGGATATGACTAACTATTTAGGGCCTAACATGGCAGGTCGCTAATTCGAATTTCGTCACCGAAAATGCTCGCTCTTTCAGCTGTGGGAGTGTTATTATGTGACGGTCTATACAACTTTTCGTTGGTAAATGAGTAGCCCAAGAATTGGTAGTAGATGGTGTTGACTAGTTGAATTTTCTATAGTCTGTCATTTCAAAATTAGGAACAGTTTGCTCAGATAGTCCTCTGGTAGTTTTCACAAAATTCAAAAACAAAGACAAATGACTCTTATTCTAAACCATAATTTCATTGTACACATGTCTTCAAAGGATGGCGAAATGCGAGTCTTAGATCAGAAGTTTTTACTAACCCTCCGTCAGTTTTCCAAGATCACATTTAAGCAGATGAAAGGCATAAAAGTCCGTTGAGACAACTATGAAAGACTTGAAAGATATGTGGTTGAAGTATTCACTGTGATTCACTTTTCTCGGCCATCTTTCCCAAGAAACCAACCGTTGAATTCAAAATGTGGCTGGAAGCTTGTGAACTTTTGGCTTATGAGCCTGCATCAACTTGATTTTTTATCATATTGTTAACAGTATCAATAGGTACTCTCGGCTCGCTTCCATATTGGGTTGAGGCGTGACTTCTCGCTGGGCTGGGTACCTACGCATTTTCCACCCGGGTGAATCAAACTCCGGATTTTTGCGTGGTAACTCCGTTGAATTATCGTTGACTCACGGAGGATAACATTAAGTGGACTAAAATCCTTATCCTCATTTTATATTTGGGTTATATGTGATATAACCTTAAGATTAATTAACATTTGATGATGAAGTTAACATGTTCTCGCACTGATTAGGTAACAAATATCTTTTTTTTAGTAAAGCTTTACTACTACCGATGTTTAAAACATCTGATACGAAATTGTATATTTAGCCAATAGCATTATGATTATTAACAGCTTGGATATTTTGAGTTTTAATTATCTGCATGACTATCGACAGATATGATGAATTTCATCTCTCTGAGAATCATCATTTAAATAATACGACATATCCATTTATATCTGATGGCAGAGACGCCCCCAGTGGCACAGCGGTATGTCTGCGGGCTTACAACGCTAGAATCCGTGTTTTGATACCCGTGGTGGGCAGAGCACAGATAGCCCATTGTGTAGCTTTGTGCTTAATTACAAACACACTTGATGGCAGAGAAGAGTAAATTTGGTCTACGCATGCGCTAAAAATAATGTTATATCATATAGCTCAATAGAAAAAATGAAGTTTACTATCGAAAACATGCAGCACCAGATGTAAAACACTATATAAAAACTTTAAACAATACGACAAGAAACAGTGCATCATGATTGGTAACTAGAAATTTGTTTAGATTTTTTAGTTTTATTCAATATTTTGCTTTAATAATATCTCCCAATTTGCACCTAACTGAAGCTATGTGCATTAGCATATCTTTAACCGACATTGTGAGCGTCTCTTTCGTCGTTTCATAGAAGAGTGTGAAGGAGATATCTCGAGGGACATATCTTTACACTGTGACAGCAATAATTGCATTGCTATTGATTTTCTGGCGAAATATATATATGTGAAGCAAATACTAGACTTTTACCATAAGAATTCAAGCGTGAGCCAAAGACAAATCAAAATTTTTAATAGCAAGTTTTCGTATGAATTATTAATATTATTGAATGGTATAACAACTGTATTAGATTATTTAGAGCTCATATGATCATCTAAGTGCTTGAAACACAAACATGCACAAAGCGTACGTGATAAATTAATCACATATAGGACAATACATTCTTCAACATTCGAAATATTAGAAGCAAGAAATAAATGTTTTCATAAGGGCAATATATCTTTACATGAAACTTTAGACCTGGAAAACAATAGATCTTGGTTGGTCATGCATCTAATTTTACCTTATGTGTTATTCATTTTATTATTCTTATCCTTTGCTTTTAACGACAGAGACCACAATAGCGCGTTTGTTTGTTTGTTGTTACGCGCAAAATTATATAATGGGCTGTTTGTGCTATGCTCACCGCAGGTATCGAACCCCGATTTTTATTGCTGAAAGCCTTCAGTCCTACCTCTGAACCACCAGGAGGGCTGTGTGTTTATAGGCAATGTTGTTATGCAAAGGTATATTTTACCTCACTTTCACTTTGTTGTTTTTCGATTTTAGCAATTTTAACCATTAAGGAAACGTTGGTGTGTATATATCCTCATTCGTTATACACTCTGTATCGTCTGCGTTTTACGATTCGAATCCAGTTTGAATTTGTACACGTAACCTTCAGTTTGTCTCTTAGTTACCATTTCACCACCGATATCATCAAATGAGTCTGACGATGGCCAGGACTGACAAGAAAATTAACTTTTAAGTTAACAACATACTAACTTGATCATTCAAATATTCGCAAATCCAAGTAGCGCTAATTTCTTAATCTATCAACAAATACACAATATCGTAACTGAAATCATTAAAAAGGAGATCGGATATATATCTTTCAACAACCATGACATCACTGTGATTACCAACGATTCAAATATTTCCACAATCAGTCCTTGAAGTCATAATTAATTTAAATACATCATGTCAACAACCACGACATCACGTTGCAACGTTGCATGGATTAATCTCTAAAATCGTACTTCATTTAAATAAATCATGTTTGATCTGTCAGTAAAATGCACATTTGCTTATGTTAAACGACAGTTTTAGCATCGTCGAAGTTTTCCACATCCATCATCAGCTCCATCACTTCTGTTTTGTTTTTTTATATACTTCTTAAAGTTAATTGTTTATATTTTTTCTTTTAAGATCAAAATCATTTTCAATTAAAGCTTTTCTTGAATTTTTGATTAGTGGTTTTATTTCGAAATAGAACGTTACATTTTTCAACATTTATTGTTAAATATTTTGAGACATATTCATGACTGCTGGCATTTCGCATGTCACGAGATATTACTCCATTCAAAGGAGTTGTTTTTTCGTTCTGTCACCTTTGTGTAGTAATTGGTGTTGTTATTTTGTTCAACGATAAACTAGCTGTGATAGACCAGAGGGAAGGCAGCTAGTCAACACAACTACCGCCAACTATTTACCAACGAATAATGGGATTGGCTGGCATTTTAACGCCTCGATGGCTGAAAGAGCGAGCATGTTCGGTGACAGGTTTCGATCCCAGGTCTGCCTTTGTATGGTATTTATGTTTGAAATGTTAAGAAAGTGAATCACGCTAACGAAGTGAGAGACAATCTTTTGTTCATCCTGATATTTGAGAACCAAGTTAATAAGTGTACTTAATTTTCAAATACTTTATTTATAATTTTTTCAAAATCCTTCCATGTTAGTGTAAATAATAGAAGTATGTATTTTTCCCCAGTAAGACAGCGATAAATTTACGGGCTTACAACGCTAAAATCAGGTGTTCGATTCCCCGCGGTGGACACAGAAAATAGCCCAATGTGGCTTTGCTCCAAAACAAACAAGCAAAAGTACACGTTTTCTAAAATCAAAAGTGACATTATTCTATGCATTCGTGTCGAACGTGACTTAATAATTGATGTGTTCGGACTGTGTACCCGAGGGTTCAGCGTTTGCGGCCTCTTGCCGCAAAAAACGTGCTCCATTCTACAACAGAAACAGTCACATTCTGCAGTTGGGTCAAACAAAAGTAGCCCAAAAGGTAACAGTGGGTGTTGTTCACTAGCCACCTTAGTCTAATAGGTCAAAATTTGTATAGCTTTGAACGAAAAGTCCGAAATCTATGCACTCATGTACTGAACCGATAGACACAAAGGTCAGGGGATTCGCAGGAGATACTTTTGATGTAATGTCTTTATTAAAAAGGGTCAGATTTTTGTCAAAGATCATCGTTTTATTTAACAAAACTTAAATGAAATATTCGCAAGAATAATAATTTCACGTATTTCACGATTCGAAAACTATGTGTATTCTCATAAGCGTTTCAGTTGAAACGGTCGAAATCAAGAAGGTTTGTTTGTAGTTAAACACAAAGTTACACAATGGGCTATCTGGGTTCTGCCACAAGGGGTATCAAAACCCGGTTTCTAGCGTTGTAAGTCCGCAGACATGCCGCTGTGCCACTGTGGGGCCATTAAAGAAGAAAATAACTATGAAACTGTAGCTTATTTTCAACCCAGTTTTAGATATATATATATATATATAAAGTGTTGTTTCACATTAAAAAGTACCTATGATTTCATCTTTGCATAGTTATTTTTTTTGGTTGGTTATTTCAAAAATGTATATCATAATAAAAGTCTTACATTTCTTAAGGACTTAAATTAAAACATATCGGTAACATACATGAGAACTCTGGACATAAGTTTGATTTACAAACGTTAACACACGTTCACGTTAACTTATATCTGTCATGCAATTGGTTAATTTATGAGTTGGTCCTTAACTAATATATAGCTGCCGTGCAATTGGTTAATTTATGAGTTGGTCGTTAACTAATATATAGTTCTCGTGCAATTAGTTAATTCATGAGTTGGTCGTTAACTAATATGTTAGCTGTCGTGCAATTGAGTAATTTATGAGTTGGTCGTTAACTAATATATATTTCTCGTGCAATTAGTTAATTCATGAGTTGGTCCTTAACTAATATATAGCTGCCGTGCAATTGGTTAATTTATGAGTTGGTAGTTAATTAATATATAGCTGCCGTGCAATTGGTTAATTTATGAGTTGGTTTTTCACATTAGTTTTGTGATCGTAGGCTACATTTTCTTTGGACAAGCCGAGAAATTACTGAACATCTAAAGATCTTCGCATTTCGTTCCGTCTTGTTTGACTACTTAATAATAAGATATTTAATTCCTACCTTTTTAGCCATTAAGCTTTAATCCTTCATGCGGAATATCTTTTCCACATCATCGGGTGACTAAGGCCGTTTGGTACCGTTTACTGAATTGGGATGGTTAACAAAAGATTGGAATGCGTTACTAAGAGGTTTAGTAAAGTTAAATAAAAACGAAAGGGGAAACAATATTTAGTTAGTCAACATAATCATTACCCAGAAGACAGATCTGAGTTAGTCAGGGTTGTTTGTAACTTCAACAAAAGTAAAGCCAATTATTATAACACAAACCGGCTAACAGCACGTATTGAATAGCTTAAGAGTTATGACTAATCGCTCAAACTGAAACTTCTTGACATAATCCACACTAAATGTCCACCAGTCAACACCCCACTTTTAATCAGTCGGGACGTCAATCTAAATTCTAAAGAGAGAAAACTGAGATTTCGCGAGTGCCGTGCATCACGTTTACCACTCCCAATATTCCAATACACCACAGAACGCTTTTCACACTATTTGTTGAATGCGGCAACCTAAGCCTTACAGCATGCGAAGCTTCTTGGTTTGGAAGAGCCGATTCTTAAAGATGAGGGATGGACTAGTATAACCAAAGGGGCATGACATCTGTTTCAAGATATAATTGAACAGCATATTTCCCTCTCTCAATAAAAAAACAGTTCACATCTTG